CGGGGTCAGCAGGTCTAGAATCTGTGGCGGTGGCGGCTGCATCTGCGGCTGGGGCGGCTGCATCATGGGTGCCTGTGCCACCAATTGATGTTGCTGGCCCCGGTCAGCAGATTGCTTGCCAACCTGGGTTTGCAGGATGGGCTTGCACAAGCATGCAGATGTTTCCAGTGTAGCTTGTGTCGAAACTTCAAAGAAAACATGTACGGCCCCAAACAGCTTCTTTGCTCATTGCCACGTATAACATAAAACCTTAAGGCTGCAACGGTTGCAACGATAAAGGTTAAAGCCCAGAACCACGAAGCAAACTGCAGTCCCCGAAAAAATTCTGTTGAAACACCGACATGAGCCTGTAAAGGCTGAAACAAATGTGCTGACATGAGCCTGTAAAGGCTGAAACAAATGTGCTCGGCTTGCATTAACCGCATAAGAAACCATGTGGAACCCAGGAATGTATATAATAATAATAATAATAACAACAATATTAATATCTCTATATATATATATATCTTTGTTTGTATGTATATACTCGTACAAAATCAAAGCATGCAGCATAGGAGCCGATACTGGCTGAACATGAAGCCTTTGCAGGCTTGACCTTCCCGTAAAAGCCACATGTCCTGATTTATTCCCTCGTTCAAGAATAAACAACACATACCGGACAAGAAGCTTTCCGGACTTTGCCTGCATTCTTGGCCCCTTCGGAAACCAAACTGCTGGAGCTTCGCACAGGGGAATGGTTCACCATGATCTGTGCAAGTCGGGGGAAGTCCCTGCTGACAGGAACCTCTTCTCCATAAGAAGCAGCGAAGTGCTTCGCATCCAATTGCCAAGGCGATGCAGGATACCTTCGCAGGCTCTTGGCATCCGCAGGAACCGTGGTGCTAGACATCTTCAAAGCTTGTAGCATGTGCTCTGCAAGGGCATATACGGTATCTCCGGGAGGAATCGTATTGGTGCGTTCCACCTCAAAGTGCACTAGGAGTGCAACACAAATCTTTTTTGTGCATTCCTTCATCGACACAACACCAAGTTTGCGAAGCCTGGAGGCGAAGACTTCAGTGCCGGCCCACATGCTACCTTTCTCACAAAGAGAGATATCACTCGCCGTGATGTAATTCTGCAAAGTAGTCAATGTCTGTGGAACGAGGCATAACTTCCCGGCAGATGTTTCGCAGTTGTTTGCTGTCGCTGCTTTGTTGTCCAAAACATCTAGCATCTCTTTGCGAACATCTTCTGGAAGGGAAGAAGACTGGAAAAGATTGTAAAGCTCAACAAGCTCTGCTGCTGGGATCTCCGTCATGTTGAGCAACTTGTGCTTCAGCTGGGTCACCAAACCAGATTTGATCTTCTCAATATCTGGTCTGGTCTTCAACAACAGTTCTGTCGCTTCTAACTCACTTTTCAAATCTGCAACCTTCCACATGGCTCTGACACCAAGCTAGACTGCACCCGACAGCCTCAAGCAAAATCGGACTGGCAAAAGCAACCTCAAGTCTTCGGCGGCTGGAGCAGCATGTGTATGCTGGGGAAGCATGTATATGCTGGGGCTAGCGAAACCAGAAGCCTTTACAGGCTGCAGCAGCCACTGGCCCGCACCCCAGGCGACCTCAGCCCAAACCCAAACAAACTAAGCACAACATGAGCTTTCACAGGCTTCCTCCCGATTGCGGCCCAACACAGCAGCCCAACACAGCCCACCCCAACTCCCCAAAGCAAGAGCACGAAAGCATTTCTAGGCTGCAATCAAGCAGCATCACCCAGCACCAGGCCAACCCACACGAACTCAGCACTCGAGAAGCCTTTAAAGGCTGTAACCTGCCACCACCATCACACCAAACCAGCACAACCCATTCCATGCCAAACCCAGTTCGCTGAGGAAACCAAAAGCTTTGACAGGCTTTAACCGACACCGTCACCCAGCACCAGCCCAAGAAACCACTCCAATCCTCCCCACATCAAGACTCCAGAAGCCTGTAAAGGCTGCACCCGACCACCAGCACTCCACCTCAACCCGACCATTGTGCAGCCAATACCGTTGCATGCACACATCTGATGTGCTTCTTGATATATACTAAAAAACTAGCTCCATACGTCTAGCAATATAGCAGAAGCAGCTGCAAGATGCTTGTAGTTGCAAGAAGGCAAGTAACACCATAATTTATAATTCTAAATTCAATGATGTGGGCTTGGGCTTCCAATTTATAATTCTAAATTGAAGGTGCCAGGTTCTGATTATGATTTTGTTTTTCTAAATTCATTGTTCCAGGCTGTGTTAATGAATTTATTTTTATAAATTCATTGTCGAGGGCTTCTGTAATGAATTTATTTTTATAAATTCTGGTTTCACTTGGGTTCCTCAAAGAATCCATATACATTATTGAATTATTTAAGCCTATTGTATAGATTTGGCATGTCGACTGATGCAAACACACTAACCCGTAGCTGCTGTGCTCGCCCTGCCTGAGCATCTCCTTCCCCATTCTTTGCTATAGAGACCGGAACAATGACCATCTCCGGCGACTCGACTGAAAACAAATCCACTGGCACTGCTGGGGTTGCTCAGCCCTTGCAGATCAATGGTGTGGTTCTTGATGGTGCCGAAGATTCGCAGGTTGTGGTCATGGACGAAGATTACATCACAGAATGGGCTATGAATCAATCTTGCTGGAGGGACTACTTTTCTATTGTCTCGCAGCACAACAGCACTGCAGTTGGTTCGAACTGGAGCACAGGATATGTTTCTTCTGGTTTGGAGGAGAACTAAAACATGCAGCTCCCCACCTAGCTTTGCCTTAGCAATGCGGGCATTAATTCGAGGCTAGCTAATTCGTGCTCGACAATCTATAATCGGTGCACTGCGAGTGGAAATGACAGGTCACATGACCTTGCATTGTGTTCGTTTCGTTTGCACAGCGAAAGAGAACTTAGACCAGGGGTCCCTTGCACCCTTGCAACCCCATTGCCCACAGTTCACAAACACAACATTCACAACTCAGCCTCTACAGGCTTCTGCACTCACTGGCTTATTGTGCTTCCCGATTTACGAATGAGCCTGTACAGGCTGACTGCACAAGGCCCTCTCTATAAGGCTGTCGGCGAATCCTTTTTGCTCGACACATCCACCGCCTCACAGGTACCACTTGTAGGCAAGCTCGCCATGTCTCATATACTGTGTGTCGAGATGCTTGAGAGCACTCTGAAGGCCGGGGTGTGACTGCAGCCTTTCCAAATCCTGCTCCACGTTGATGCCCATGAAGTGCTTGTGCACCAGGACCGCCACCTTCGGGGCCCAGCCTCCTCTGCTTGAGCTCTCGCCCCCTTGGTCCTTCACCTTGGAAGGGGTTCAGGGTTGAGGGTTTGAGTTCGTTTTTTGTGGGCTTTGTGTTCGGGCTGCACAAGCCTGTAAAGGCTGCCAGTAGCCTGTACAGGCTGCAGTGCACAGGCTTGCTTCAACTGCAACTTAAGAGCTTAGCCTGTACAGGCTGCATGCTTTCAAATCTTGCTACCCAGCCACTGGTTGTTTCCACCTGGACCATCCATGAACCGGGTCCAGATTCCACCACAGAAGAGGGTTGTGGGTGTCTCTCGCCCAGTAACGGCCCTGGTTGTCCGTCCACCCGTTGGGCTCTTCTTCCTCCTTGACATGCACAGGTGCCGGCTCCACCTCGGGCGGTGCCCCAGTCTGCTGAGCATCGCCACCTTGCCCAACATAGCCACCTGGCTCAACATGCCCAGCATTGGCAGCATAGCCGCCCTGGTCCCCTTGCTGGCCAGCCCGCTCGGGGGCATACCCGCCCTGCTCCACTGGCTGCTGAAAGCCACCCTGCAGATCAAAACCGTGCATGTCATATCCAGGCTGCTCCTGAGTGGTTGCCGGCTGCTGAAAGCCACCCTGCAGATCAAAACCACGTGCCGTGTCATCTCCAGGCTGCTCCTGAGTGGTTGCCGGGACAAAGCCAGCCTGCTGGCCAAAACCATGTCGCATGTCATATCCATGCAGCTCCTGAGTTGTTGGCAGCGGAGGAGGCGGTGGTACCGGTGCACTTGGCTGCACAAAGTGAAGCTGCACCGGTGCCGGTGCTTTAGGCTGGCTCGCTGCCAAACCTGCAGATGCAGAATACAACATCGCTCGGGCAAGAGCCATCTGAAGCCGCTCATCCTCGATCTGCTTTTCCTCCTTGATCTCGGCCTCTGATTTGTGCACTTTCGCACTGCTTTGCTGAACAGCTTCGACCTGAGCAGATTTGTCATTGTTTGAAGAAAGGAGCCGGTACAGGCTATTACAAAGGGATGAGACTGGGCAAGCCTTTATAGGCTGATCAGAGACCTGCACAAGCCAGCAACACCACGAAGCCTGCACAGGCTGACAACATGTGAACCGAGCCTCTATACTCGAAGCCTTCCGCTTTCTGGCATGGTCTGCCTCAGATCAGAATATCCCAGCTGTGCTTGGCAACATTGGCTTCTCGGTCTGCACTGTTCTTCAGAATCCCAGCCTCCACCTCACGAGCCCACTCAGCAGCCGTATACTCCTCCTGCATGAAACAAGTGTCTTCTCTGTTTGGATGTGCATGCATGTTCTTGATCCACCCGGCCTCTATCTCCCGAGCCCACTGGGCCCAACTGGGGTCGTACCAGGCGGCCCTCTCCGCCATGTTGCTTGAGCTCGGGCAAAGCTAGCACAAGGCTGCATGTGATTCCACAAGCACAGAGGACGAAGCCTGTACAGGCTCATGTGGCAACACAAAGCAGCCTGCACGAACTCCGAATGTGTGTATAGACCAGCAACAGCCTGTATAGGCTATAGGTTCGGGAAACCGTTCAATCTGTGAATGGAAACCACGTACACAGCTTTCAACTTCCTTTGTATACAGTTTAGGAGTATACTTCTATGGAACAACATGTTTGTAGCCTGTACAGGCTCGCTAAATAGAAACACTATTCGGGCAACACACAAGGCCAGATTTTCACACCACCGCCGGCAAGCATGGCCCTACTCTTCCCCCAGCTCAAACTCTTGGCTGTTCTGCCTGACCTTCCTGTACTGGCCAGTCCTCTTATAAGTTCGCTTGGCATCACCTTGCAAGCAACCCGAAGTATCCTGTATCACATAATCAGCCAGAGCTGTCATCTGCTTTGCATCAAGCATAACGATGATGTCACTCTCTCGTCCTGTCGCTGGAGTTTTGAAAGTGCATGCAATGCCACCCAACTCCAAGTTGATGGTCGGCGGCGCTTTTTGATATGTGAGCTTCCTTCGTTTTGGAGCCTGTTCATCTTCTTCAAGTCCATCTGCAGCTTTAGCATTGGCATCATCACCTCCATTGCCCTGGCCGAAAAAATCATCTTGCTCTGATTCGGCAGCACCTGCAAGTCCAAGGGCTGTGGTGATCTTGTCAAGCAGCATCTTTCGGATTTGTGCAATCTGTGGGGAAGCCGCCAAGCTGGGCTGTCGACAATTCTTGAACTCCTCTAGGTGTCCCAACATCAACTTTGCAATCGCATAATGTGAAGGACGAACCTTCAACCACTTCTGCCCGTCCGAGTCTTCCTGAATCAACATCTTGGGTATTTGAACTTCTGGACCGTCCTTGTATGACATAACCACTCGTTCGGAGATCTGCATGGCCGGGGTGATTAGGATGTGCTCAAGCTAGA